GCCTCCAACCTACTAGCGATGGCCTCCAACCTAGAAGCGATGGCCTCCAACCTACTAGCAATGGCCTCCAACCTAGAAGCGATGGACTTCTAACATGACCACAGACCATCGCAACACCCCAAATGGAACTCCAAGAGTCTGCAGCTGGGCACGGTCTGCTCTTTCGATGCCGGGAACAACCAGTGGGTGGCGGATGAATTGACACCGGTGGAGGGTCGCCGGTTTCATGACTTGTTGCACCTATGAGGCTTCGCTCTCAACTGACCAGGAATTGTCCATGATGTTCCAGGTCATCATAATGCGTGAGTTGCTTGCTTCTGCAGCATCCCAAGACTCTGGGCATTTCTATTTCTCGACACATATGACCCAAAGCCAACTGGCCAAGTGCAAACGAAACACCACTTCCTCAACTCCTCCCAATGATAAAAACACCAGGACTGTCGGCGAGAGGCATGAGGTGCAGATCTCGTAGCGCATCGTGCATGTGTTTGATCTCCCGCCGAGTCAACTTGTTCTCCTCGGTGGCTAGTTTGATGGTTGAGAAGGCAGAAATGTTGATCCAGCTTGGATGAAAAGGCTGAAATGTTGAGATGTTGATCCTGAAATGAATATCCAGAATTGCTTTTAGCTGGAAGATTCAGGTATATACGGTATATATAGGTATATGACCACATACCGTGGCCCAGTTGATATGTAAAAAATAATGGCTCCGGCTTTCCTTACATTCCCTGCAATTATCATGGAAGCGAAAATGGCCCCTCTTAGGTGGCCATTTTCCACTACAAACAGGTGGTATTCCACTTCCCTGTTAGTGACTCCGAGTGTAAACTGAGCGGCATAGCTCATCCTCGCCAGCTGTAAACTCTTGGCGGTGCCTCAGTGGAAGCACGTGGTGTTCATCAAAGCACAAACTACACTCCCTGAAATAATCATGGAAGTGAAAAACCATCTGGTTTTGTAGAAGAAAATGGTTTTCCTTTTGGGGCCATGCTATCCACTTCAGAGAGCTGGCCAGCTAGGCTTGGGAAGCAAGAGCCCAGGAGCTCGAGAACCGCCCATGTCTGCGATGACCTGTCAGGTTCTGTCCACAATAAAGTACCCATCCATTATGCAATTGCTGGCATGAAACCATGGCAGGCACCGGTTCTCCGCGAAACCTGAACCCAAAAGATTAGGTCCACAACTCATTTACTCACGAAAATGGGTGAACCCAACTCACTGAGTGAGATGAACCACCCAGTTTTCTGGAGTGAAAATTTATTTCCTTGCCATCTCCTGGCAGCATCCATGAAGGGTTTTGGCTGATCGTAACACAAACCCAAACGCTCCATGTATAGCATATTTATATATCTACATGTTGGTGGTTGAAAAGGTTGTCAATCTAGGATTTACAGGTACAGTATGACTTCCCTACATGCAAAGCCACACTTCTTGCAGCCAAGCCTGCCATGCAGATTCAAGCATCCGGTCACAAACTCATCGAGCTCCACCAAGCCGCTAGCGTCGGCATCTAACAGCCTTAAAACCAAGCAGCCGGCAGCTGCTGGAGTTGGCTCTGACAGATTTGCACGCAACAACTCATTCACTCGACGTTGAATGTCCGCGACGCGCAACTTCTACAAGCCTCATTCTACAACCCTGAACTTGTTCCTTTCTGGTCACAAGGCGTCTGGACGAAGAAGGTCTTATCATTGTGCACTTCACCACTCCACGAGCGAAAGACACCTCCCGGCTGCCAGGATCGGAAAGCAAATGCCAACAGCATGCACCTGCTGATTTCTATTAATTTTCCGGGCAAAAGACCCCAAACAGTGTGTGTGAGGTCTATAAGCAGAAAGTCTAGAGATCTAGACGCATTGGGGTCCAGAGAGTTGATGGTGGTGATGAAGGTGGGGATCGTGGTGACGGTGGTGGTGGTGGTGAGTGAGTGAGTGTGACTGTGAGTGTGAGTGTGAGTGAGAGTGACTGTGAGTGTGTGTGTGTGTGTCCACCCCTGGACCAAGGGTTTCTTCCAACCGATTCACCTGCCACTTGATCCCACCGACTCACAAGCAGGGGGTGCAAGCAGCCCATCCAGTCTTGCA